ATATATGCAGTGTATTATTTGTTGAAACTGTACTTCCGATTTGATTTGAAACTGTCTCATTACTATCTGTTCATCAATAAAACTTTGAAAAAAAATGTTCCTTTGTGCCCCTTCCAGGTCACTTTCTAACCTGCAGTGCCCAGGTCAGGCAACCTCTGATTTGCTATCTTCACTCAAGGTTAGACTTGTCTTTTCTAGAGGTACCTCTGAGTGAAATCTCTGCCTGCACTCTGGAGTTTTAGTCACTACCTGCTACATTTGCACCTCACTCTGCTGTTTTGTGTGTCCATGGCTCCTTCCTTCACATTGCTGAGTCATATTCCATTGAGCAGTTAGGATGCTCCATAATGCATTTCTTCGTTTCACCTGTGCTTGTATATTCAGGTTGTGTTCAGTTGGGGGCATCATGAATAATGCACACAAGTACATAGTGTGGACACATATTTATGTTGTTAAAATATTGTAGGGCAGCTAGCCAAAGTGGCTGTAGAATTTCCTCTAGCAATGCCTGGGCACGGACTACTCCTCTTCCCTCCCAGTGCCTGTTGCCAGTGCTTGTCACTGCAGTCTTGATTCTGAGTGTTAGCAATGCCTCCTAGGGTTGTAATTCGTATTTCCTCACTTTGAAAGACTTTCAATATCTTCCCCTTATGGCTTGGTCAGCCAAGGTGTGAGATTGCAGGAATGGCCCTGTGATCCTAGTTTGATTTTCCTCAGGTCCCAAGAAAAAGAACAGGAGACAGACAGGGAGACTGGCCACAGGCTTGGGGGAGCATGTAGCCAATTACAAGGGAGCCTCAGTTCCTGGATGCTGCTCTGCCCTCTGCACCCAGGTTTGAAAATGGCAGAGATGCTTTGGCCATTGGGCAGCTCTGACAGACCAGACTGCATGGCTCTGAACGATAGCTCTGGATGGGTGCCACACAGGTTGGGGCCTGGTGAGGGCTCCCTCCTGTCTTTGCCTGGGTGGTGCTTTTTCAGGTAACAGAGGCAAGGCAGTGGGGTAGGGCTCTTATATCAGAGCATTAAACTTGTTTCTTAGTACCTCATCCCATGACCTAGTCACTCTGAACACTTCTTGTACACCACCGCCTTGTTGTCAGTACAGGGGTTTGGGGCACACAAACACTCATATCTCAGCAGAGTGCCATGGTGACAGAGGTCATGTATGGAGCACATATAGGTGCCTGTCTTGTGTTAATGCCTTTACAGGAATCAGCTTTTTAACCAGTTCAACAGCACTAACAGGGAATTACTCTTACCAACTTTGCTGGACAGGAGGAGAAGCCAAGCTCGGCACATTAAGCAGTTCAGCTGAACTGACACCCAGTGGGGTGACCAGAATTACCATGCAGTCAGACTGATCCCTGCCATTTGGAATAAGTGGCAGATGACAAGGGAAAAGTGTGGAAAGGGGTTTGTGTGGGAAAAACAAGTCTGTGATTGGCCAGGCCAGGGGCAGGAGCAGTAAGCAAGGCTCAGGACTCTGAGCAGGACTGGCAGCCTAAGAGTAGGCAGTGCAGAGCCCCTTGCTGAGAATTTATCAAGAATTTCACATGTGGCATGAAGTTTTTTAATTCTTCTAGAGAAATACCCAAGAGTAGACTAGCTGGATTGAATGGGACCTCCATTTCTAGTTTTTTGGGAACCTCCATAATGATGTCTGTACTGATTTTAGCAGTCTGCATTCTCACCAAGAAATAAAACTATCTTAACAGACAGACATATGTGCACCCAGTTGTACAGCAGTGCAATGTGTCAATGCTAAATCTTGGAAAAAACCCAGAAGGTTATCTAATTATGAATGGAAAAAAAGATGTGGTATTTTTATAGAATGGAGCATTACTTGGTTATAAACAATGATAAACTTACAATATTATGGGGAAATGGATGCAACTAGAGACCATGCTCATCAGCAAAACAAACCCAACTCGTATGTGGAAGCATCGTTGTTTTCCTAGGGTAAAAATGCTGAAAGGGTAAGTAAGATGCCAAGTAGACAATATACATTGTGAAACAGGAATGAACTGCTCAGAAGGAAAGAGAATCTGGAATGAGGGGAAGGAGAAAAGATGGAAGGGGAGAGGTAAATTAGGATAGTTAACATAGTTGCACTATTAGCTGCTGTTAGTTCATTGAAAAGAAAGGTTAATGCTTATATTTTTGAACAGATTTTCATGCCTACATCTTGTAATATGAGCAACTATTTTGAAGATAACAATTTTCAATGTATAACCCTTGTGACTCATAAAATTGATTTTACAAACCTGTATGGAGAAGAGGGCAGCTTTCATTCATTCATTCCTTCACTCACTCACTCATTCATTCACGTATTCATCGACCAGCTTGACCAAATGCATCTCTGGTCCTGGGAGCTTCCCCCTGTGGTCTGGTGCTCCCTCAGGACCCCCAGGCCCACCCTACTGTGTGAACTCCATCTCCAGGGCACAGACCCAAAGGTGAGGTGAGAGGGCCTGGCTCTTTCTCACTGCCAGGGCAGAGAGTGTGAGGCAGCATGGAGGCAGCTTGGCTGAGCCTCCCTCTCTCCCAAGCCCTTCCAGGCTGTGTGACCGCGGGCAAATTAGTCCACTGCTCTGGGCGAGGTTCTTGCATTATACAGCATGACCCATGTGCAGGGATAAGTAAGAGGTCCTGGCTCTCACTGCTAGGACAGCGAGTGGGAGGCCGAACAGAGGTAGTGTGGCTGAGACTTCCTCACTCTCCAGTTCCTAGTCCAGCCCTTCCACACTGTGTGGTCTCGGACAAATTACTCCACTGCTCTGGGCAAGGTCCTCTCATTTATACAGCAGGACCCCGTTTTCAGGGATGAGTAAGGCAAGGCTGGGAGCTCTGCCAGGGCCAGTGAACACAGTGGCTGGGGCCCTGGGCAGCTCCTCTTCTGAACTGAGCCCTGCACTTGGCACAGTGTCCTCTGTCCCCTGACAAGGCCCTGGATCCCTGCCCTCTGAAAGCTCCCAGTCTTGTTCAAATCTTCATCAGGACTGTGCCAACAGGGAAGATGAAATAGTTAGTGAGCTGTGGTCAGCCCTGGCTCCAGAAAAGGACCGGGGGGAGAGGTGTCCAGGCCCCAAGGGGGAAGCTGTGCTTGTGGGGTTTGCATTGTGGGCACCAGATGGTGCGATGTAGTCAGAGATGAGGAATATTCACTTCAAGGCTCTCTTCGGCACCACTTATGCTAGATCTCTAAAGATACCTAAAAGATTAGCACAGTTCCTGCAAGGATGACATGCAGATTCATAACATGTTCCATATTTTCTGCATGATTCAAAAAAGAAATGTTTAATCTATGCTCAGCCTGAGCCCACACTTCCTTATTTCAGTTAATTCTCCTGCCTACAGAGTGGGGGGCTGTTCCTCTCTCTGAAGAAGAAACTGAGGCCTAGAAGGGCCTCAACTTGCCCAAAATACACAGCTGGTAGAGCCTGAACCCAAAGAGCAGCCTGGAAGTTCCACAGGCCTTAGGGTGAGGACCCACTGAGGTCCTCAGACAGGAGGTGGGAGCTCCCCAGTGTTACAGATTAGGGGTGGGAGCTAAAGAGCTGGAGTTGCCCACTGGGGGCTTCTGGCCCCCGGGGGAGCAGGAATTAGGGCATGGCCCATCGTAGGGGACTGAGACAGGCCACATTATAGCTACTCTCCAGGATCTCCTGCCCAGGACCCATAATCACCCAGGACATGGCACAACCTAGCCCAGGACAGGACAACTTCTCATCACTGTCACAGTGAGCAGGCCCAGACCATCCCACTGCAGAGTTACCCAGGCTCTTAGAGCGAGGTGGGGACAGGATCCAGCTTCCCCTATGTCCCCACACATCTGGGTCTCTGGCAACACATGGCTGGGCTGCCTCTCTGCAGCCTCACCCTGCCGCATTCTGCTCTCCAGGGCTCACTCTCCCTTGTCCGAAGATAAGAGAGAAACCAAGGGTGATGCTGGAGGGGCTGAGAAGGCTTACACTTGAGATCACAGCCTGGGGGTGGGGGGGCAGGCCCCCAAGAAGAAATAAAGAGACAGAAAGGAGGATGGATTCCCTGGAGGGAAACTGAGGGAATGGCAAGTGTTTCCTGTCCTGTCTTTGCATATTTTGTTTCCATTGGGCTGAGGGAAACCTGTCACACCTTGGAATGTCTCAAACCTTGGGGACAAGTAGCCAGAAAAGCCAGTGAAAGTGCTTAGGGCCAGGATGGAGAGGAGGGTGGGACCAGAGTGCAGAGATGAGGGGCAGCGTAGGAGGGGGAACAGAGGCCAGGAAGCCCTGTGGCTGTGACCTGCAGCATATATAGCCCTGGCTGTGCCTGGAGATGATGGTGTGCAGCTGCAGGGGCTCTGAGCACCAGGTCCTGTGGGTTACAGGCCACACTGCTGTATTCCAGGCTCCGTTTGAGCAGTGGACCTGACAGCCTCTGTGGAACCTGAGCCTGTTCCTCTCCCCTTCACCAAGTGTCTGGATGCTGGCCTGGCCCAACATGCTGCTAGGTGGCCTGCTTCTCATGGCCACCATGACTGCAGCCCAAGAGAGAGGACAGAAGGTGGATGGCATCCAGACAAACCAGCCGCCCAGTGTGCCTGTGAGACTCTTGTCTGGAAATTTGACAGAACAGGCGAGGACTGAGCTGACAAACAGCACACTGAGGCTGCAGAAGGTATGGCAGTGTCCCTGAAGTAGGTGCAGCTTCAGAGCTGTCCCTAATAGCAAATGAATTGTGAGATCCAGAGGCCTCGCTGGGCACAGAGGCCTGGGATTTGAGTTGTATGCAGTGGAAGATGAGGCCCCAGGGGGGCAGGGATGGGCCTGGTGCCGCACGCCAGACTGGGTGGTGTCAAACACTGAAGCTGGGTCTACACAGCTATGTGTTAGAGCTGATCATGGCCAGGCTTGTGCTAGGTGAGCACATAGCAGGCAGAGGTCAGTTCAGTCTGTCCTTTCTGGACAAAGGGGTGATAAAGGCCATGAAGTAATGTCTACTGTGTCAGATTGTGACACAAAGTTATAGAAGGGAGAAGAGAGGGGTGTTGCTTAGCCTGGCAGCCTGAGTTCAAGTGATTCATGAAGATGTCTCAGTGGAGGACAGCTCTGATTTCAAATGACAAGGAAGCAACCATGTGGGGGCCTGGTTCCAGAGAGGGACTCTCAGTTCTCACAGCTTCCATATAGAATGCCGCTACCTACCCAAGAACAGGGAAGTGAACAGTGTAGCCCAAGCAGATGGAGAGGGGCATGGGCAGAATCCAAAACTTGCAACCACAAAGACTGCCTTGTCTGCTTTAGCTTTTGTCCTGAGTGTCACAGCACACATGTGAGAACTGTGAACAGGGAGTGACACTGCTGCTTGAGATGTAACAGTGTGGCATATATGGATAGGTGGACCCTGGCAGCCCAGGAGGAGGCCCTGAGGCCCCCTGCCACCACCAGACACATGGAGATGGAGGCCAGCTTAGTGTGGGGCTGGGGAGGGCAGAGGGGCTGATTCTGTAGGGTGAGAAGCTTCTGTGCTAATGGATCAGATGCAGGGAGGCAGCGAGTAGGAGTCCAGGGCCACAGCAGTACGGGCCAGGCCAGCGCTGCTGACAGATCCGGTCACTGTCCCTGGGCTTCTGTCAATGTTAAGTACCCACTGTGAGTCTCAGACACCCCTTGTGTGTGTGGCAAAGTCCAAGGAGCCAGGCTCAATCTGAAGTGGGGTGGACCCAGACATGGCTTTTTGGTCCAGTGTACAGCTGTCTAGATTCCCTAAGTAGGAGTGGCTGAGAGAAGAGGGCCTGGCCCAGGGACAGTCTGCTCAGGGAGCGCAGAGGGCTGCATGAGGTGCTGGGGGGACTGGATGTGTCAGGCAGCAGGCAGACTGTGCCAGCCAGCAGAGTGGAGGTGAGTGTTCTCCAAGTGAGGGGAGAACACTCTTGCTTCTGTGATTGATGAGTTGTTTAAATCTGAGCGAGCCCAATCCATGAAAAGTTTGGTCCTCAATAGGCATGAATTTACTGACATGCAAGAACACACACATTCATGATACATACACGGTGTGATGCGGGGGGAGTGGGACCAGAGAAAGCTGGTGTAGGACCCTGCAGCCTTGAATGTGTGAAGTGCACAGCTCTGATAATGTTTGCAAAGTGGGCCTGTGATCCTTCCACACACACTTTCAAATGGGTGGGGTGCTACTCGCATGCCTGGATTTGCTGTGAGGCCCCTGTAGGAGGCTAGAGTGCAGCTTGGTGCTTCCTGGACAGGACAACGTGACAACCACTATGGCTCCTTCTGTTTTTTAGGGGGTGCTGCTGTGTACATACAAGTGTGACTTTCTCTGAGCCAGGCCTGTGACTCACATTAACAGTGACTCCCTGGAACTCTTTTTCTTTCCTTTCTTTCTTTTCTTTTCTTTCTTTCTTTCTTTCTTTCTTTCTTTCTTTCTTTCTTCTTTCTTCTTTTGTATTTTGTACCGGGTTTCACTATGCAGCTTGATCTCATAGTGATCCTCCTGTTTTTTTGCCTCCCCAGTGCATGCACCACCACGCCTGGCCTCAGTGGCTGGCTCAGTGGGCTGGAGGTGATGCCAGAAAGGCATGTGGTGCCTGGTCATTGATCCTCTGATGCTCTAGGATGTGAGGTCTGTTATGATCCTCTTGTATCTTGTGGAAACTGAGGCCTAAGAAGTGGGGCAGGTGGGTGTGAACCCAGGTAGACTGACTCCAGGCCTCACATTTTAGCACTATGAATATGGCCTCTCTGTGCCTCTGGGCACACTCTCATAAATGTTTACTCCAAACCATGGCAGAGGAGGCACTCAGACTTGGTGTCTGTCTTGTCTTAGATCAAGTGCTCAGAGTGGGGGGAGGAGAAGGCAGGAGCAAAAATGGCATGGTCTAGGCATGGAAGTCACACTGAATTACCTCTTCTGTGTCTGATCCTGTCCCAGGGACAGAGGAGAAGGCACCAGGGTATGAGTTGCAGGTGAGGGACGAGGGGGGCCACAGTTATCTGCCACAAGCAGCCTGCTATTGTGCTTATAAGCATGGGCTTGGCAATGTATGTTGGGGCACATTGATAATGTCAGGTCTCTGAGGGCCAGAGCCTGGAAGATCAGAAGTGCCAGCCCAACCTGGGCAACTTGTAAGACCCTGTGTCAGAATAAGACAGAATGAGAAGTGTGCAGGCCATGGCTTAGTCTCCAGTACTGCAGAACAAAACGGCATGGTCTTGGTGCCTACATGCCTACATTAAAAAATTAGAATAACTAATACATATGAAATGGACAGAGCAGTGGGATTTCCTGGGCCATTTCTCTGCACATGGTGGACTTGTCCATCCACACTTCCACTCTCCCAGCCCAATGCCCCATTGGATTCCATCTTCTCTCACTCACAAGCTGTGGCACCTTTGTCCCCTGACATAAAATGTGGGAAGGAGAAAGGCCAGGCAAATGTGATCTAAAGTCCTTCGGTCAGTGCCAGGCACAAGTAGCACTTCAGCCCTCCTTTGGGGGTCCTGGCTTGCCATGGTCACTGGTCCCCATCCATGTATTAGACAACTTGCATGAGGACCAGAATGACCATTTCTGTTTCTAGAGTTTTGCGCCTACAGCCAACCCATTTAGGGCCTCTCCCCACCGTCTCCTTCCTCAGAATCCACTCAGTTGCCTGTGCTCACTGTCCCAGACTCTGAGTGCATGTCCTCCCCTTCCTCTCCTGCCCTGGCTCCAGCAGGCGGTTCCCTGTCTGTCTCACTGGCTTCCTCTTTCTTCCCTTTGCATGGCTGATCCTGCAGGCCCTACCTTATCTCTAGGTACGTGATAACTATTCTTAGGAAACCCAGTGCCCTCATCAAGCTGACCCCTGTGCTCCTTTGAGAAACATGGACAGAGCCCGCCCTCCATGCCTGCACCTCCAGGAACAGTGAGGTGTCCATCAGAAGCAGTGGAAGTACTGGGTCCTGGGCTGATGTTCCTGGGGGACTGGGCAAAGAAAAGACTGGGTTGGCTGCTAATGGTGTGAGGTGCAGTGAGGGAATCATGGGGGTGACAGACAGGGTGGTGGAGACAGTGTGGTGGGGCAGGGCTTACTACTAACTGAGAGGGCAGAGGTGGCTTTTTAGAAGTAGTGATACAGGCAAGGAGACCTGGCAGGCAGCAGGATTCTGGTGGGAGACCTGCAGCTTGAATATGTTCTGGTGGAGTATTCTGTGGCTCCTCTGACCACCTCTGCAGGCACCAGGCCCCACCAAGTTCAGGACAGGATGCCCCATCTAAGTGCATGCCAAGGTCAGTTTGAGGGCAGTGGTCCAAATCCCAAGTGCCTGCACCTTGGACCTCGGCAGTCCTGCTTTGATGCCTTCCCTCCCATGAGCAATGCCTTGCAGGAGAGCTAAGAGACAGGTGTGCATGTACAGTCACAGGTGTCCAGGTAGCAGTTACTTGTGTGTGGTGGCAAAAGCTTGGCAATGACCTCCAGGTCTAGCTGCTTGGGACCTGAGGAGCTCCAGGCTCAGCTCTTAACGATGCTGACGGTAGGGACGGCAGCTCTGTGGCTGCCCACCCAGCCTGTGGCAGGCACAGCTTCCTCACTCCACGCTCAGGACAGCCCGTGTGGTAGCTCTGATACAGCACACACGGCATAGGCTCTGAGAGACCAGAGAGCTGGAGGTGAGCAGAGACTTCACTAGACCTGCAGAAAAGCAGTACTGAAGCCAGAGGAGGCTGTGAAGGGTAGATAGCCCAGAGATCAGTCATGTTTGCAAAGCGCCTGCTACAGGCCAGGCAACATCTAGCTCTTCCCCGGGAATCTCATTTATCTTGCACAGCATGCAAAAGGAGGCATTAGGAACCGTGTGACAGATAAGGAAACTGAGGCTTGGAGAGAGGCCCCTTAGTGAGGTTTCATGGCCTGTGAGTACGGTTAGGGTTCCAGCCTTGAGTGCAGAGTCCTTGACCAGAAGCCCTGCCCATCAGGATGGACTCTGTTGGCCCCACCCTCCCACAGGCTCCTTCCACCAGGCCATTCCTGCCACCTCCAGGCAGGCCAGTCACTCTGAGATGCCAAAGTGACACACTGCAGAGACAGTCACCATTGAATCCCAAAGGTTCCAGCAAGCATTGTTGGGACCCCAAGCTTCCCCATGGCTGCCCTGAGGACTCTCATGGCCTGGTTTATTTCAAAGCTGTTCCCCCTCATGGAGGTGTGGCTCATCCAGTCCTTCAGCTATACCATGTCCAGGGGGCACCTACACACTGGCAGCCAGTGTCCAGGGTCCAGAAGAGCAGCCAGGCCAAGCCCTTCACACTTGTGGTGTCATCCCACTGGGGCATGGAGAGTAAGACCGAGTGGGAGGCCTCCTCAGTCATCTCCGCCTTTCCTGTGCTCTGGACCCCTCTGGTACCTGGTGAAGCTCTAGGCCCTTTCTTAGAAGAAGGCTTTGAAAGGCTAGTGAGATAGCTCAGTGGATTAGCAACTTGCATTGACAAGCGCAGGGACCAGGGTTCTATCCCCAGTCCCACATTCCCCACTGCCCTGCCCTCTGAGTGTGCTAAAGTGACTACTCAGTCTGGACGTGGTGGTGCATGGGGAGGCTGAAAACTGGAGGATCAATATGAGTCTGAGCTGTGCAGTGAGACCCTGAACCAAATACATAAATGGAAAACAAAAAGAAAAAAAAAGAAAAGAAAAAAAAGCAAGCAAGCAAGTAAGCAAGCAAGTAAGTAAGCAAGCAAGCTTTCAAAAATCAAATGCAGCCCGGCATGGCTGACACATGCTTGTATGTGCCAGCAATCCATAGCCTGAGGCAGAGGAAGCCCTTGAGTTTCAGGACAGCCAGGACTATGTAGTGAGATTCTATCTCAAAAAAGAAACAAATAAAAACAAAAAGTCTAAGGCATAGGCCGTGCGGATGTGGTGGAGCAGTGGAGCCCTTGTCTACCATGTGTAGTGTCCTGAGTGTCTTCCCCTGCTCTGCAAATTATTAAAAATAGAGAAAAATGAGCAAATTTGTGGAACATACAAGTTGTCTTAACATACAGAAAACAAAGGTTTTTTCAAAAAGAGATTTCTGATACACAGGTATAGTACACCTTTGTGTTTTCACATATTAAATAACTAGACCAAGAGGTAGATTTAGTCTCTTGCATCTGTTGGGTGTCCTGAAAAGTGGACACAGAGATTGCAATGTTCTCTACCATTGTGAAGAGACTTGAAACACCTGTGGTTTCTCCAGGTGACAAAACTACAGTTACATTTATCACCAGTGCAAGAGTTTGCAGTTGATTTGCAAGGGTGGCTGATGGCACTGGCTGATGGGTACCATGTTGGGCCAAGGTTGGGCCTCCTGGGGATTGGAGGCAGGGCTGGAACTGTCACAGGCAGTGATGGGGGAGGAAAAATTCAGGAAGTAGATCTGGTGTGCAGGCAGAACCTGTGTGTGTGTGCACAAGTGACCACAGGGAGGGCCAACTTGGAGGGTGGCTCTTGGTCAGCAAGAGTCAGGACTGACAGGCCTATGGGGGGGAGATGGCATCTGGTAGATTCCTACAGGGCTCATGGATCACCCATGTCCTGTTCCCTGGTACAGGTCCTGAATCAGACATCGTCACATATAGAGTATCAGTTGCTGCAGGCGTTGCAGATCTCTGACAAGCTAGAGAAGCAGCTGCAGGAGCAGAGAGTGAAGCTGAACAAGCTGCACCACAGCAACAGATGGGCATGGGCCTTGGTCCTGCTGGGGCAGCAGCCGAGCCAGGAATCAAGCTTGGGACTCAGGCTGAAGATGGGGCTGGGGCTGAGCTCGGAGCTGGAACTGGGCCAGTGAGTGGGTGGGACCCAGGCCTGTTTAGGCCTATGGTGAGGGACTGGGACTGAAGCTGGGCCTATCTCCCTGCTGGAAAGGACTGGAACCAGGCTCAGAGTCCAGAGATGCTGGGAGGAGTGCAGGCAGCAGGACTAGGCTGGGGCTGAGCTGTGTGTGGGCCAGGCAGGCTGGGGTGCATGCCCAGCATTACATGGGGTACAGCAGGAAGGGCCTGCTCCTGGGGCTCAGGACACCTCAATTCTTGTTTTCATTTCTCCTTATCCTTATTTGTTAAACTTACCTATGTTATTGAGATAAAATTTATACATTACACCCTTCACTCTGTCCCTTTTCACAGGCATAACTGATTTGCACATCAATAAACCAGGTTCCATCCACCTGCTCCCCTTCCCTGAGGACACCAGAGTGACCACTTTGCACTGTGCAGAGTCAGAGTCCCTTCATTGTATGCAAATCTGTATCAGGGAACACACTTTAATGACAAAGAAAAAGATGGTCCTGGAATTCTGAAAAGACAGAGCAACCTGACTCCCACCCTCTAGATTTTATCTTGGTTTTGGGTAGAAAGAATTGTCCTTAGCGACAAGGTCTGGATTGAGGGATCCAGCTTCCCCAGGGAGGAGCCCTGTCATAGGGTGAGGTAGGCACTGCATGCCTGAGCTCCATGCAGGGTCCAGCCATAAGCCTGGCCGCTGTCTGACATGGGTCCCATTAGTAGATGTTCTTGTGCTCATTCCCACCCTGAAGATGCAGCTAGCAAGAACTGGGGCATTGCAGTCACTCTGAATTGGGCAGTTTCCTGGAAATGCAGATAGAAGACACTGTGAATAAGCTCCTGATGGGTGGACAGTGAGCATTCTAGAATTTGAGTGTGTCCAGATGGTCTCTTCCTGCACTATAATTTGGGGTCTGTGGCAATGTCTTCTGCCCTGGCTGGATTTACCTCTTAGTCTGGAGAATGGGTAAGCAGGACTGGATGGAGAGGAAAATCCTCCCTTCCCAGGTCTGTCCCTCAGCCACTGGGCTTCTGCAGTCAGACAGTGGCTACTACTACTGCTATCCTAGCTGCCTGACCACTGCTTTGCCATGGACCCCAGTGCACACCACTCTCTGCTCTAGGCCATATCTATAGTGGACACAGACTACGAGACATGTGACCCTGTACAGGATGCTGCATGCATCTGGGCCACCCTCTGTGGTGGTGAATTCAGGGCAGGAGTGTAGGCTTCTTCCTGTGCTCTCCATCCTGCAGTGACCTGGAAACTCGGCTGAATGCCCTGGAGGCTGACCGGGAGGCTCAGCTGGCAGGGCTCCGTGAAGAGAGGCAGAAGGTGAGGCAGCAACTGGCCCAACAGATGGACAGTCTGTCCCACATCAGCCAGAGCTTGGAAGCCCTGCGCAACAACAACAACCTCATACAGCAACAGCATGAGAAGCTAAATCAGAGCTTGCAGCTCCTCAAATACTTAGTGGAACAGGGCAAAGGTGAGCTGGTAGATCCTCTGGTGCAGAGGCTGGTGTGGAGGCTGGGACAGAGGGCAGGAGCCAGGCAGGAGCCCTGCTCAGCCTCCAGGTCACTCTGGGCTTAGACTCTGCCTGGGAAAGGCCGTACCCTTCTGGCCAACTGGACAACAGACGTTACACTGAGCAGTAATAAGAATGGCCACAACCATGGCCCTGAAAGCAGCCCATGCAGACTGCTCCTGTCTGCCCAGGTGGCTGGGTCTGCCCCCACCCATTCCACATCGGTCCTCAGTTTCCTCATTTGCCCAGTGGAGGTGGCAGTGTTAGCACTATACAATAGCATCCAGCTGGCACCTTTGGGTTCCAGGCCTCACCCGTCAGCCCAGTTGGCTTGTGCCACACTACACCTCTCTGGGCTTCAGGTTCCTCATGGAGTGGGAATGTGGGTCTCAGTGCAGCCCCAATGACTTGTCTCCTATAAATACTTGAGGCCCAAGAGGGCACAGGGAAGGCAGGGGTCTCCTTGACCTAGTTGCAAAGGAAGCCCAGGGCCCAGCCTGCCCCTCAGCACTCACTGACCCTGCTGTGCCATTGGGGGCCAAGGCTTCCTGAATCCAGCTTCTCTGTCAGTCAAAAAACATTGATTGTGTTGGGATTTTCAGCGGTGCAGCAAAGAGATAAGAGAGAGGCCTTTACTGACTCTGAACACATGAAGAGAATCTGAGGGAATGAAGGGATCCTGTGAGCTGAGAGAAGAAAGCCAAGACTTTCATGGACTTTTGGTGGGGGTGGAGTTTGAGGGGCAGGTTCAATTACATGGA